TATATATATATATATATATATATACACACATAGTATATCATCAGGGACTCTTCTTCAAGTGGCTGAGACGAGCTGGACTAGGAAGCTCAGTCCTCACCTCCTTCTACAGGTGTGCAGTGGAGAGCATCCTGTGCTCCAGCATCTACTCAACATGTGGCATGGAGGCTGCACAGCTGCAGAAAGAAAAGCTTTGCAGAGAGAGGTGAAGGCTGCACAGAAGTCTGTTGGAGTCAGCCTCCCCACCATCACATACATCTACACCTCTAGATGTAGGAAGAGAGCCACCTGCATCATGAAGGACCTCACTCACCCAGCACGCACACACACTTTTTCCCCACTCCCCTCAGGAAGGAGGTTGAGGAGCATTAAGTGTAGAACCAGTAGACTGAGGAACAGCTTCTACCCTGAAACTGCTCGATTCCCTAATCAGGATTATCACTGTGAAACAAAAAAATCACTGTAATACCACTTGATTGTTGATATGTGCTGCTATTATCCATGTTGCTGATCTCATGCTGCTGATTTATTTCATGTTGCTGTGTTCATTCATAGGGTGCATTCACACCAGCCCTGTTTAGTTCGCTTTAATCGAACTCTAGCTCGTTTTCCTAGAAAGTCCAGCTTGTTTAGGGAGGTGTGAACGCGCCATCAAACTCTGTCACGGAACAAAAAGGCGAACTCTGGCCCGGGTTAAAACCTAGGTCTCGGTCCGGTAGAAGCAAACTCCAGCGCGGTTTGAGTACAGTGTGAATGTAAACAGATCGAGCCCCACTCTGCAGGACAAACAAACACGCATTTCTCTGACCTTATATGGAGCCGTCAGCTGCCTTGTGTGGAAAAACAATATTCTCCATGGTCTTGTGCCTCATCTTCTGCTCATGCTGAGTCCATTTTTGAAAAATGACAAAATATAACTGCTAAAACTTGATGCCACTTCATTTTATTTTTATTTACAGAAGAAGAAGAAGTGTCTTCAGAGGGTTTTGTGTCGTTTCTTTCAGTAGTTCTTGGTGCAGCGCCCCCACAGGCGAGCGGGGGAACAGGTTGGTTCAACAGGTTGGCTCCACTGCACAGTGCAGTGTGAATGCAAACTCACCAGCTCAAATGTAAACAAAATGTCATGAATATTGGTCCCCAACCGAACCGAGTCTACCGGACTATCAGGTGTGAAAACGACCATACTCATCTGCTCACACAGACTGATGTCCATGCTGCTGTTGTTTGGAGTATTGTTTTTGTACTACTAGTGCTTAGCATATTCTTATTTCATATCTTAGATTTTATTAGTTTTTCTTTACAATTTATAATTTTGTTGGATGTAACTGGGACTCTATGTAGTTTATTTCCACCACATATGATGCAAATGACAAATAAACTTTGACTTTTGACTTTGAAATATAATACTTTTAAGATTTCAGTCTCCAAAATTAAGTAAAATATTTCATGTTTTTTTTAATTAAAAGCATTGATTTTTTAATTTATTTATTTTTTGCTTTTTCCTTATTATGTTATTATTTTTAAGGATTCCATCATTTTTTTTTTAAGTTTAATGGAATTCAAGTTTTGTTTTTTCTAAAATGTTCATTATACAATATATTTGTGGAATTATGCTGTGAAACTCAAACTTGAATAGATTGCTTATTTCTAAATAAAGCAGGGCACTCTCACACTGATTATCTTTACACAGAAAGGATCTGACTCCCATTTCTCCTTCTAGGTTTGTCGTGTTTTGCTACAGGAATATTTTCCTCAAGTAAATAACAACAGAAAACAAGTATTTGGCTTTCTTTCCACTGGTTGGATTGCTTTTGTGGGACTTGTGTGGAAATAAAACAAGGCATTACAGTCTAGACTTGTTTGTGAGTTTCAGGAGCTGGAACAGACTTAACGGTAAACGAATTTCAGATCAAATATATGAAAGTCATGAGAGATCTAAGATCTATGAGAAGCTCTGACAAACTTATATTTTATTATTTGCAGTCTGTTGCCATCTAGAGCTTAATGCAAGCAATTGCACCCAATAAGTTCAATCTAAAATCAATAACTGTATTTTGACATATCACATGCTGCACAGAATCAGTATCCACCAGAAAATGGTCAATCCAAGTCTCTCTTGTAAATGAGTTCCTGAGGCTTACTGGGATTAAACTGTATAAATAAAGGTTGAAAAAAACAAAAACAGGATTAAACATGTTTGAAGTATCAGTTTATAAAGAGAACAGAATAAACGCCGAACGGCATCTTTAGGCAGTTTAGTATGCAGGTGCATCTCAAAACATTTGAACATCATAAAAAGGTTCATTTTTTCTGGTCAGTCATTTCAGAAAGTGAAGCTCAAATATTACATAGATTAATTCAACATTTATTTACACAGGTTAATCCCACTGAGCCTCGGGGACTCGTTTACAAGAGACCTGAATTAATGAGCACAGGATTCATGATACACAGGGTGAAACACTTCTTGAAACATTTGACTCAGATTCTGTGATTTAATTCAAGTTCTTCGGAGCCTGTTAATCACCCATTCATTTACATCAGGTGTGTTGGAGCAGGAAAACGAGTAAAACATCCAGGATGGTGTTCATCAAGGACCAGAGTTGGGAACCATTGATTTAAACAGTACTCCACTGCACTGTTTAGTGTTCATGTTCCACTAAAACAACTGCCAATAAACAGACAAACCAAACATGAAAGAGGGGTTCAAATTAGTTTTATTATTGATAGAGCAGAAAATATTCCCCAAAAAAACTTTTTTTTACATTGTTACACTCTTTTTTTAAATTTTGCACTGCACTGCATTAGGCAGCACATCAACCCCAAGAAACGGAATGGTGACACTGTTGTCAAACAGCAGCAGCAGGAAGTAGTCAGGACAGCACAGGGTTACACTTAGCAGGGCACAAAATGATGGGCTCATTCCAGATTGCTCGTTTTTTCACCTCCGTAAGACGTGTGGGCTGCTACTTTTTGCTCGTCAGGAATGTTCAGACAATCTTGAATTGGCAAGCGATCGAACTTCAACTTTGGATGCTTGTGTTTCTATCAGCAACTTGCGTACTGCACAAATTTGTATGAAACCCCCGAGTGTCGAGTAACCCCAGCATGAGATAAACTTCAACTAATGCCATGTCACAATGCAGTGCACTATCTTTGATTAATGACCCAAAAAAACCCCTCAAATCTGTGAGATCACATTAAGGATGCTGAAATCTGGAGTGAGGAGACTGAGCAGCAAGACGTAAAGTTTACAATCAGATAATAATAATAGACACAGAATTTATGGAGGGGAGACAACTAATTAGTATGGTAGGATTGGGTTTTAAACCTAGAACTTGTGAAACAGCACAAAGAATAAAATAAACAACAATATTTTTGGTGTCTGACATGGTGACATTTCAAGAAGGGCACATCAATGTAAAGCCATTGCTGAAAGGTACAACATATGCAACTGGATCACCTCGGTGACTGGAATAAAATAAAACTGATAAATAATTGCTTGCGTAAATCCAACAAGAACTAAATCTGTTTTGTGCAGGAGACTGTAGTTTGTATAATATTCTGATTAAAATGCACTACAGCTTATGTGAAGGACAGACAAGTCACCTGATTGAGCTGAAAGACATACACCTTAAAATACTTAAAAAGTTCATGTAATTTGTTGCTTTAGGGCTTTTTTTCCTCCTTATTTTGCATAACTACATTCTGAAAGCTGCCCAGCTTCACTAAGAACAGTTGAAGGGTGTGTGGGAGCCAACTGACATATAAAAACAACAAATTTTAACTTTTATCCATTCAAACATAGGGCGTATGTCTTTACTAACCCTATTAATAAATTCAGCTTATCTATAGAAGAAAAATGCACCACAACCTATGACTAAAAGCAAAAAAAAAGTAAATTATTTGACAATCCTTACACCCACTCAGTTTAGAATAAATTCATATTCATATCCAGAGAGGGTTGAAAACAAACAAACAAACAAAAACAACAACTAGAAACCTTCTAACAGAAGGGATTCCATTTGGGCTCCACCTAGTTCTTTGGGAGATTTAATTTTTACAATATTCAATAAGAATAGTCCTCCAAACATAAGCTCCATGATTTTACATAAGTCTGTGAAACCTTAATATTTATTTGTCCTCTTCATCTTAGGCAAAAGTATTTAAAAGTAGGCCACAACATGGAACCCAGCAGATGTAAAACCACCTAACAGTAACATTAGCCTTTAAATTCAGACCTCGACAAGAGGTCACTTCCTAAGTGTCAGCGAGAGCAATAGTCCAAACACAGTATGTGACTTACAAAGAGAAAACAAAATTCTACCATTCAGCCATACAAAGTAATCCAACACACATCATCTGCTCTAATATGCACACTGAAGGTTGCTGAGAAGAGGCGGCCTGTGTGCAGATAGAGATCTTTTTTTTTTTTTTACAGTCCTTTTTAAAATGTCATTAATTTTTGCAAAGCTGAAGCAGTTAATATTTTATGGACGTCCCTTGAAGCTCTACAGTCCTTGTGCTGAGGTCCTCCATTAAGTTCAGTTAGGCCGACACAGGCCGGGGTCTGAGTGGCTCAGACTGGAGAGGGCAGGAGGTGAGACAAATATACTATAGAGATCAGTTTTTATCCCTGCCTGTTCCAGAAGAAGGAAAGCTTGGGCATTTGTGTGGCAACTTCCTCTTGGTGCAATTGAAAGGTTCAAGCAATAAACAAAAAGGGAGCGGCAACATTGCTGCAGATGTGTGGAAATAACACACACCAATACCAACCTTCTGAAAAGGTAGCCATAATTTATTCAACATTGTATCTCTGGAGCTGTAGTACAGCTTCAGTTTAGAAAAGATTCAAATGAGGACGTCTGTGGGGAAAAAAACATCATAAGTAGGTGTAAGAAAAACACAAATCTTATTCTGCCCAGTGACCATTGTTGACAGAGGCAAAGTTCATAGAAAAGATCTGAATGATAATGAGAATGGTTGTTACTGATATTAAGAAAGCTAAGAGTTGTGACGTCAATAGGGAGTAAGATTGCATTATTTCCATGTGTTTGCAGCTTGGGAAATAGAACGGGAGGGAATCATGTCCAGCAGATATTCTCGCTGACGCTCAACAGCCGAAGTGGTCTTGTGACCAGACAAGCTGGGGTTCACATAGGCCATAGTCACTCCTGTCACAGCACAAACACATACAATGTCAGCGTTTATTACATATTCTGGAAATCATATCAAACAAGTGAAAAACAAAATGAGCACAAGTTAGAAACATTTTCTTTCATTCAAAGCTAGGATTATATTCCTAAACATACAAACATAAAAAAAAAACAAGACAAAAGTTGAGAAAATATATAATTAAGTCAAGAAGGGCAACCCACATGTAAGAAAAACTAGTCTGGTGGGAAGCAGAAAGTGAGAAAATGTAAAGTGTATTCTGTGCATAACTGTGTCTGTGGTTTATTTACCTGCATTTCCACCACTCTGCTTCCTCCAGGCTGCCAGGTTGCCCTGGTTACCGCTGCTGCCTGCACTGACCTTTGCCCCGTGTTGCAGAGAAAGAGCTGCAGCATGCTTCCCTGATCTACTGCCTAATGCAGCTGCTGTTGCTGCATTCTGCAGCTGAGAGGAGGTGAAGGTGTGGGCTATACCACGAGCGCTCACTGCAGACTGGATGCTGTGGGACAACTGGCTCTGTGCAGAGACACGAGGCGAAGAAGTGTTTGTGCAGGTGAAAATCGACATCAAGATAATGTTGAAGTAAAAACGGTTGTAAATGATAATGGCAGCATCTATATAACTGCATTCTGTGCTAACCTGTTTAATAGTGGAGTGGTGCACAGATCTGTGCTGCAAGTCAGCTCTGACCTGCTTGTACTGCTGTGACACCAACACGTCACTTTTAGACATCGAGGGAGAGGAGGATGAGGTGGTTTTAGAGCCAGAGGAAGAGGCTGCCTGCTGGAGGATGCGCTGCTCAATCTCCTGCTCTTGTTGGAGTGCCTTAACGAAGGCTGCCTTAAGACGACTGGTGTGCTCAGCCTTCAGGACCTTTTTCTGATTGGATGACATGCACTGGTCACAAAGGAGGGAGCCAGCTTTCTCCTTTCTCCAGCGGGAGGTAAAGTCCGTCTTGCACTGGGCGCAGGTGAATGGCTCTTTCGGAATTGAGCTGGCCATTGAGGCAGCCGGACCAATATTTCCTACATTAGAGACAACGTCATAAAATGAGTTTTATACTCTTACATCCCACAGTTTGTTTCAAAAGTCCATTATTCCCAAGCTACTTGCTTATGTGCAAATATTGACCAACCTCTGCCATGCATCTCCAGAAGTTTTTGCACCACCTCTTCCAACCCCAACAAGTAGATGAACTCATTATTAGCCGCAGAAGGCAGGAAGTTGAACTCAGGTCCAGGCGGTTTAGGTGGAGGAATCTCTAACAGTGTCTTCTCCAGCTGTTTACGCAGCGCTAGTTTGGCAGCTGCCTGTCTGCTGGCTGGAGAATCGTTGACACTGGAGTTTGGTGAGACTGAAGAGCCTTTAAGGCTCGTTGAAGAAGTCTAAACACACATTAGAAGCAGCATATGAGGCCCACATTCAGGAGACACAACAAAAGCAGAGAAGTTATCCAAATGGAAAATCCTTGTACATAATGTCCTCACCTGAGGGATGTTGACCATGACATTGCTATTGTTCACATTAGCCACACGAATGAGCCCCTGCTGTATGATCCTCTGGCCTTGGACCTGGACATTGGGCACAGAAGCCCTGGGAGCCAGCAACAGTGGAGGAGGACCTGACCCGCTGTGCTGCTGATGCTGACGTAGACTTGCAATCTGCTGGGGAGTCACGGCAATAGGCTGACAGGTGCAAATGTACACACAAACATAAAGAGATTATAAAATATGTATGCATTTACGTATTTTTAAAAAATACATATGATAATAAAGTGCAATTGCTACATGAAAAAGATTAAAACACTGGCTGCCCCAAACACTAACCTGGGCTCCTCTGACCAGAGGTGGCATAACAATCTGAGAGTTGTGTTTTGACGAGACGTGCTGCCCACCCCGCACCAAGGGTGGGGGGATCACTGTGCCTGAGCTACGACCCGTCACCTGTCAACACAACATTCCTTACATTATTAAACAAAGCAATAGTTATGACATCCCAACACCAGAACTTGTAGGTGCTAAAAACAGTAAGGTGAGGAAAAGTACACTAAGTGGCCTGACATACTTCATCTGAAGCAATGAAACCAGCTCTCGTTGTCGTAGCTGCGTGACGAAGACTGCATCACTTCATTCAGAGAGCGGCTTTGCCTGCCCCTTCTCGAGACAAGGCCTGGGCCAAATCTTTTCTCACAAGCGTATGAGCCTCGTATCATGTGACTGATCAGAAGTTTGTGGCGTGTTTGTCAATGAGGAAATGAGCTCCGACCTTCAGCTGTACGACTCTCCAAACACACTAAATTAGTCCAAAGGTCAAAAACTCCTGGATGGACCTCGTGTAGACATCGTGTATGGAGGAGTCTGTCAGCTGAAAGTGTGGCGCTTTGTTCATGACAGATTTGTGACCAAATGGTGGATGCAGGGACAGAGTGGAGACTCTGGCGAGAAGCAACCCACACAGTGATGTTCACTGCAGCGGGAGGGGTTCCCCAGGGGCGGTGTCTTGTAGACTATGGAAGGTGTGTGTGAAAATGAACATCACGCAACCACGTGACTGCGAGTCGACTGTTCGGTTTCGGATGGAGTATGCCAGGCTCTTAAGTCATTACCTGAAGGGGTCCTTTACTTGATGTCATGTTACCTCTCACTAGAGGGGGTGGAGTAGCCACAGAGCCAGATGGCTGAACATTGAACAAAAAGGGCAATGTCTTAGTTTGCACATCAGTTATTGCATATAGTTTCCAAAAAATACAATATCTCTTACACAACAACTGTAGGACTCAGACATTTATATTTCAATGGCATCTGGTCACCAACACATTTTGCATGTTTGTTTTTACAGATTTGTTTAAAAAAAAGGGACTGCTGTAATAATGGAAGAATACATTTTTTAGGTTACTGTAATGTGGAACTCGTGAAATTTCAGCCTCTGCTATAATTTGTTTAAATAAATAAATTAAAAATAACTGAATCCTCATTTTTACCTTCTGAGCTGAGCTCTCTTTCTGAATCTGGCTCTGTCGTAGTTTTTTGAGGAGGACAAGTTTTGCCTCTTGGAGTCTTAGTTCTTCCTTCAGCTGTTTTATGATGCGCTCCCTTTCCTCGGGTAAACTTTTCTGCAGAGAGGAAAAAATAGACAAAGTCTGCTTAGGAGACTTATAATCACTTCTACAGTTTTTATTTTATTACAAATGAAAAAGCAAACCAACAGATTTCGATAAAAGGAGCTATTAAAAAGTATGTTCAGAAAACAGTGTGAATTCTAAATTATGATTTCACATTCAACGTTACATTTTGGCTTTTTTTTTTAATTTGATATTTTCAGAAAGAGTCACATATTTGAAGAAAAAAAGTGTAAAACTGTTGAACTGCTGAAATTAATTTTTCCTACCATGAGTTTATCTGTGTCCGTCTTGGTGAAGCAGTGGCCGTTCATGAGGGGGCTAGAGGGCTCGTTGTCGGATAGCACAATCACGTCATCTGGTGAAGGAGGCTGTGGCTCTTTTTTAATGTCACTAAGGAAAAAATTATAAAAGATATTCATTCACCAGAGATTCTGCATTCTATCGTATATATCACTATCACTATCTACAATAGTGAAAATACATTTAACTTGTAGTTTTGTTTTGTCTTCTTCCAGTAGATGGCAGCATATCATAATGGTTCTGTCATTCCTGCTGTTGTAAGAGTATGTGCTGTGACACCAATAAGCAGGCAGGAACCAAGAGATCAATAAAGAGGTAATGGCGGCAGGAAAGAATGTAACACCCATTATCTCCAGCAAAAGGTAACCTCAACAGACCACGTACTTTCTCACTTTCAACATTAAAAACCATCTAAAACCAACTACACTGCTGCTAACTTTGAAGTTTAAGGCTGAATACTTATGCTTTGCTGTCCATCAACATTTCATGACGGCTAAGAAGAACAAAGGTGACGAGCTGCAACGACATAGTCAACCTGAAGAGGGGTGAAGAAGAAGTAGCAGGGGGTGGCCTCAGTAATACCACAGCACAATGACGTGAATGAAAAACACATCGGCCTCTATCTGGACATCCAGTACTGCCTGAGAAGTCTGAGCACTGAGAAAACGTAGCTTAGGATAGAGCATGTTTGGGGTTGTGAAACCCCAGTATGAAAGATTTGAGTCAAACCAGGGAGTAAAGCATACATACATTCAATCAAGTTATATAACTGTTTAGCCATCATCGAGAAAGAAGCTTCAGGGCTTCAAGTCAGACCCAGTTCATCACCCAAATGAGGCCTCGTCCTCCTCTACCTCTGTGGCGAGGCCTGTGGCCTAGCTCGATCAGCAAAGCCTGGGCCTTAGCTCTCCCCTCCCTCCCCGCTGCCGACATCAGAGTCACAAGCGGAGCAGAGTCGAGGTCCGCAGGAGACTCCGGAGAGGGTGACAGAGAGGGGGGGAGGGGAAGTGTGGCCAAGAGCCAACCTATTGTGTACACTCACTCTCACTCAGTCATCACTTCACCCATCCCTCCCCCATCCTAACTTGTTCATCTTTTATACCCCAGATCACTGAGTCAGTTCTTCAATTTTCTTGTCTTTTCAAACTCCCTAAAGTCGAGCCTCTGCTATCATCTCTTCTGAACATCTGTCCCAACTGTTATCCTCAACAGACCATAATCTTAGTTCAATAAGGTCAACCATAGACGAACATCTGTGTTGTACAAACGTTTCAGAATAACAAAAACATGAAACCATTTACTTATTCAATAGAAAATTTTTACTCAATGTTGACAAAAATATAAATCCATTAACTATTTTATTTCTTCCTGTAAAGAACTGTGTTGATGCGTTTTAGTTAGCTACAGAAAGAAAAAGCCTGCTACACTCTATAATCTGTGATTCAGAGAAACGTGTTCTTAAGCAAAGCTGAAGTCTGAAAAGAGCAGTTTTCATTCACGGCTTCCTTTATGTTCTTGCACATACAGCGTGATGCTAAAATAAATAATACCACAGAGGATTCAAAAGATTTGTCATTTCACATAAAACCTCCATGGCAAACACAGCACCTTGACTGATTTGGCCTTGCCAGCATGGCGCAGACTACCGGTAGCTTATGGTGGTTGCTACCAATTATTGGGAACAGCTTACACAAGCATCACAACAAATGCCAGCTTAGTTATGTAAGGTCCAGTGTTTCTGTATGCCTCGGCTTCCCCCCAGTCTTCATGGCTTCACTCTGACCCCACCATAGGATTGCTGAATCAGTCGGTTTAGGTGCAGATAGATCCTCCATTCAGAATGCTATGCAATATAGCTCAGAGCTAATATCAGATGGTCTCTTTAAGTTAATAAAATAGCTGGGCTTTAAACAAGCTACTGACCCAACAAATATTTGTTTAAACACTGACAAACACATATACATATACATATATATATATATATATATATATATATGTATATATATATATATATATACACACACACATATATATATATACACACACACATATATATATATACACACACACACATACATATATATATACACACACACACATATATATACATATATATATATATATATATATATATATATAAACGAGGAGACTTCTCATCTTTGTGATCCCTTTGTTTACTAGCAAACATTGATTATTCAGTTTAATCACTATTATTATTTCTGGCATGGGTAAATTTGGCTTTGCAATCAGTTTCAATCACAGTTTTATATCTCCGGCTTCTACGGACTAAGTCCACCTCATAAACAATAAACTAATTACCTTGCAGAGAGGAAGCACACAAACACATTCTGAGGGTTAAGTCAGTGCCAAAGGTGACACTGGTGTGTAATTATGAGGCTCCAGATGCAGAGGCAACACACTCGCTGCTCAATCACTTTCCTGTCCCACTTTAACTACTATCACATCAGTGTGTGATTTATTGCTCTACCAAATACAAGTCACATGACATAAGGCATTTCTCTGACATCAGGCATTTCTCTATGTGGTCATGTGACACACCCACCACTCCTCCAGGCCCCTCCTTCCTCCAATTGCTCCTTCCAACATGGAAACCATGGCAACGGCCAGTTGGAACCAGTTTGTGACACATAGCCTTCATTTTGTGAGAAGTGCGAGGCAGAGTTCAGGTGCTGCTGCAGGAGAAAATGGAGCCCGGGCCGTAGGAGCCTCAAAGTTTTCAGAATGGGGGCAGGCTGCTGGCAACTACATGACTTCCTGTGTGACTCCTGTCAGACCCCTTGCTAGTGCACATTTAATCAGAAACTTCAAACTTTAAGAGACACAGGTCTAGACAAAACAACTTGCTTTGCATATATGAATAAAATAAAATCTGAGACCAAGAGTTCCATAAATTGGAATGCAGAACATCTCCTAAAGCTGAAACAAAAAGGCGATGGTAAAGTAATCTCTTTGGATTTATGTAAGGAAATCTGTGGTTTCTTATACACAAAGAAACACTTGTTGATGGAGAAGCTGTGGCTGAGTGGTTAGAGCAGTCGTCCTCCAATGGGAGAGTTGGGGGGTTGATTTCACCAGAAGTCAACTGTTAAAGCATCCCTGTGCAAGACACTGAACCCCTCAAATGCCTCAGATGTGTGTCTAATCGGTGTATGAATATGATCTAAAGAACTGATTAGTCTCTATAGAATGATTTGTTCAATTAGCTTTGTAGAGCTGTACAGTAGTAGAGTACTGTATGAATGTGTGTGGATCGGTAGATGAGGGCACAGACTGCAGTGTAAAGCGTTTTGAGTATCTTGATTAGATAGAAAGGCGCTATATAAGCACAGTCCATTTACCATTTGTTGAGTTTACTGTGGCCAAAACAGACTGATGAAGCAATCAAGACTTAGTGCTCAAGAATATACTGCTTCTTCAGTGTAAAGTGTTTATTCTGTTCCATTCAGTAGTGTCCACAGACTAAAAATAAAGACAGTTACATGTAAACTTAACATACTTTTTGTTTTTCATGGCAACTAAATTTAAAGCCCCTACATGAACTTCACTAATGTTGAGAAAATTAAATTTGCAAAAAAACAGCAGATAACATAGTAAATCAATTGTTTTCTCGCCTCACCTTTTGGATGTGCTCATGTCAACAGGTTCATCTCCAGCTTGCAACTCCACCTTGATGGTAGCTTTTACTTCCCCAGTCTTTAGGATGTTGGCTGCTACCTTAGCAGCCTGCTCACTCTTCAGCTTGATTCCCTCAGCCCCAGATCCCACGAGGGCCAGCGGGGTCCCAGCTGCATCACCTCTCTCCAGCTTTACCCGTTTACAGTCCATGTCCCCTAAGGAACCAGCAAGCACTGCATGGTCCCTCTCCAGAGCTCGCTTCTGGCTGCGCGTTTGACGCACGGCCTCTTCCGACATGGCTGCTCTCAACCTGGAGAAAGAGACAAACCATTACAAATTGATGAAAACTTATTCACAAAACACAGAGGAGTAAACCAAAAAATGAATTTGATTGGGTAAAAAGTATCTGATTAGGTAGCAGTAAAGTTTACAAAGTGAATTGTCACTGTAGAAGTAACATCACTGCCACGGTTTATTGAGAGGAGCAAAAATGGGTACTTTCACAAAACAGTTTAGCAAAATGGCCACAAAACCTCCGTCTTTAAGCTGCCTCTGTCTGTTCACAATTCACCAATCAAGCTGGCCATGTTCCACATGAAGGTGTTTCCATAAATGTAGCATGGTTCGCAACACCAAAGAGGCCTTCAGTGAAACTTGGTTGAGTTGATGTGAAGCACTACTACACATTAAATGTGACAGATATCTTGCTCAGGCCATTTTGAAAACATAATAAATTAACTCAGTTTAGCAATTCCCCTTGTGGTGAACAATTCTGTAACAAACCTTTGTTGTTGTTTAATCCAGCAGCCAAGTGGTCACGCAGACATTATCTTGGCACTACATCACATCACATTCATTGAGCCTCAGTGCCAGTTAAAACTTTTCACAAGTTGACTGTAATGACTCTGTTACTACCTAGCATGGTGATACCAAGGAGCATCTCAGTCTGAAAAGTCATATCACATTTCATCCGAGTTTTAAGTCACAGAGTTAGGGGTAAGAGGATTGATCCAAGGAATAATAATGGAAGCATGTGCAGTGCAAATCTTGGAACTCCACATGTCTTCACCTACAGAACAGAAGTCCAGTTGCTTTGTTTATTATTTCATTTGAATTTATCATCACTTGGATGACTAATCTAGAGCAAAAAATACTGGTAGTAATGTTAGTGTTTGACCGTATTAATACTAGTGTGATGGGATTGAAACTTGAGTTTATTTCTACCTTCAGTTCTTGTTCCAAAAAATATAACCATGCGCTGGAGGAGCCATCAACAGGCAACATTAAAAATAAACACTGAACCAAACAACTATGTCAGATAATTAATTTTAATAATTATCTTTATTGGTTCTGATTGGAGGGCAGCACAGTGGCGCAACTGATAGAGCTGCTGCCTCTCAGCGAGCAGGTCCCTGGTTCAAACCCCGGTCCAGGGGCCTTTCTGGGTGGAGTTTGCATGTTCTCTCCGTGCATGCATGGGTTTTCTCCAGGTACTCCGGTTTCCTCCCACAGACCAAAAACATGCATGTTAGGCTGATTGGTAACTCTAAATTGTCCCTAGGTGTGAATGAGAGAGTGAATGGTTGTTTGTCTCTATGTGTCCCTGTGATGGACTTGCGACCCATCCAGGGTGTACCCCGCCCCTCGCACAGTGATTGCTGGACATGGGCACCGGCGACCCCCGTGACCCAAAATGGAATAAGCGGGTAAAGATAATGGATGGATGGTTCTGATTGCACAATTTCAGAATTGATACAACTAACTTTTGTAGCATCCATATTTACTTCCTTAAACACAGCATGCTGCGTGTGATGTCACGTCTTCTTCTGTGCATGTAGGTCCCTTAACGGTTCACAATGGAGTCTGATTGATCATTTTACAGTTACTAATGTGCATGTGTAAAATCGAACACCACATGCTTCAATAGTATCATGGCCATTTCCGGTCAGCTTTGAACTCTATTGCTTTGGTCCCTCACATCTGCTTTTTTAATTGACTTTTATATATAAACATATTCATTAATACATTTCCTTAGTATTTTACATTGTGATAGTCAGAGTTTCTTTATTTGTCATTTGCACCACATGTGGTACATGTGGTGGAGTGAGATTTTGTACACAGGGTTCCAGTTACTTCCAACAATACAATGTAAGAAAAACAGTAATAAGATCTAAGATATGAACCAAGAAAATCATTAACTAAAAATACGCTAAGCACTTATAGCATAAAAACAATACGCCAAACAGCAGCATGAACATGAGTCTGTGTGAGCAGATGAGTACGAATGAACACAGCAGCATGGAATAGATCAGCAGCTTCATGATGTGATTTTTTTTCACAGTGATTATCCTAGTTAGATATTTATGAGTCTAACAGCCTCAGGGTAGAAGCTGTTCCTCAGTCTAGTGGTTCTACACTTAATGCTCCTCAACCTCCTTCCTGAGGGGAGCGGGGCAAAAAGTGTGTGTGCTGGGTGAGTGGGGTCCTTCATGATGCAGGTGGCCCTCTTCCTGCATCTAGAGGAGTAGATGTCTGGGATGGTGGGGTGGCTGGACACCAACAAACTTCTGTGCAGCCTTCACCACTCTTTGCAAAGCTTTTCTTTCTGCAGTGACATGCAATGTTGCCAGGTGTTGGAATGACTACAGAGCACAGTTGCAACAGAGGCGGATATGAATACTATTTAGACCAAGTATATTTCAATTAATCAGAAGAAGGCATTAAAGCCCGACAGATATATCAGCAGGACCGATGTTTTAGGCTGATATGGGTGGTTGGATACTCACCGGTATATGTGATAACGGTCCCATTATGCTGTAATATAAGCACTTCTAATTAGAGCCCCGACCAATATATCAGTCCTACTGATATATATTTTAGGCCAATATAGCCATTTGGGGACCTATTGATATCTGTGATAATGGTCCCATAATGCACCGATATAAGCACTTCTAATTTTCACCCCTAAAATGCTGGGAACAAGCTGTCATTGTAGAATGTATCCAGCAGAGGGCGAATGAAGACGACTTTCAAGTCATGGTTGTTCGTTTTAAGTTTCACTTTTACTTTTAACGTTCAGCACAGATGAAGCAGGGAGCAGTACCATTTGGCATATTTTGCAGAACAGAGCATGGTAAGTTTATTTTAACTGAGTTGTAAAATTAAAACAAATACATCCATCCATTATCTTTTACCCGCTTCTTCCATTTTGGGTCACGGGGGTTGCTGGTGCCCATAACCGGTAATCACTGTGCAAGAGGCGGGGGTACACCCTGGACAGGTCGCAAGTCCATCAAAGGGCCACATAGAGACAAACGAGACAAACAACCATTCACGCTCTCACTCACACCTAGGGACAATTTAGAGTTACCAATCAGCCTAACATGCATGTTTTTGGTCTGTGGGAGGAAACCGGAGTACCCGGGAAAACCCATGCAGGCATGGAGAGAACATACAAACTCCACCCAGAAAGGCCCCCGGACCGGGATTTGAACCGGGGTCCTGCTTGCTGAGAGGCAGCAGCTCTACCAGTTGCGCCACCGTGCTGCTTTAAAACAAATCAACAATAATAAATTATTTTCAATCCTCCAACTCCCTTGTCATTAGCTACATACCTCTCAAGTTAGCAGGCTAACGTTAATGTTCATTTGCACTGCCTTCATGACATTAACCCCGTTGTCAGTAGTTATAGCAACCTGTCCCGTCGGATTGAGCTTCCAGTTTGTGAGGACATCGAGTGTTAGTATTAGTAACATTATCTCTGTTGTCCTCAATGAAATGTATTGTTTGTCTGAAATCTTTACTTCTCTGCAAAGAAAAATAAACGCTGCTGTGGGCAATACTAATTAGACCATCACCATACGTGACTGACTGTTTAAACAATGAACAAAGAAGGGCCTTTCTTTGTTTAATTTATATTTTTGTAACACACTTAACTTTATAGTTAATAGTAGAGGATAGAACATGTGAACACACATTAGGAAGTTTTTATGAACCGTGTGCCACTTGTAAACCTACTGTGGGACTAATTAAAGCGTGGATCTGATTTACTTAGCATCATGGTTGCTAACAGCTATACAAAACAAACAAGCCCCACTCCAGTCTGTTTTCTTAGATTATTGGGGGTGGACAAAGCAAAAATAATAATAATAAAAAATCAGCCATTTTATTGGTTATCGGCGGTCGCCTACCCCTCCCTATATTGGTATCGGCGATAGCCAAAATTTCCATATCGGTCGGGATCTAGTATGCATGATACTATCAAATCACTGCAAAACACTGACTTTGAGTATACGCATTAGTAACAGTAAAAAGGTAATCTGAGGTCACATTTAAGTTATGGTGGCACGGTGGCTCGGTTGGTAGAGCTGTTGCCTCTCAGCAAGAAGGTTGTCAAATCAAATCCTGGACGAAGACCTTTCTGGATGGAGTTTGCATGTTCTCTCTGTGAATGCGTGGGTTTTGTCTAGGTACTTCAGTTTCCTCCCAAAAACCAAAAACGTATGTTAAGCTAAATGTTAAGCTAAATTTTTCTTAGGTGTGAGAGCGTGAATGGTTGTGTGTTTCTATGTGTCCCTGTTATGGACTAGCGACCTGTCCAAGGTGTACCCCGCCTTTCGCAGTGATAGCTAGACATGGGCACCAGTAATCCCCGCGACCCAGAAAGGAAGAAGCAGATAAAGATAATGGATGGACGGATGGATGGATATGGACAACTACACAAAAATCAGATCTGAGCGAAACAATGGAGTTGACCATTAAGACCTGCAGTGTGAATGTAGCCTACTAGCTGGTTTATAACTCTAGCCTCAAGTCTCGCTTATGTGGGTACGTGATGAAAATTGTGTAGCGTCCATCTTTTACCACCTGCTGTGCTGACACCCTGTTATGTGCATTACCCCCAGTCAGATCTGTGTCTTGCAGGCTATGTGGCACACATTGTGAAAAAAAAAAAACTATCCTGCTATGACTGCTGGTCCTTATATGCTTAGCTATGTGCATGACGTGCTACAGTGAGAGTGCTGTGGTAGGACAGAGGGATGAATTATGATGATTTATCCCCCACTTCTTCTGCTTGACTATGAATGCTCCATGAGACAAAGGCATCTGAAACTATTTAATGAGAAATCTGCTCGCTTACGTCTTAATGAAGTAAAAACCAAGTTTAAGTTTTAAGTATCAGACCTAAGCTTTGTAATGATACTGACTTTAGTGACTGTCTTTGGCTATGAAAAAACAGTGTCCAAACAGTGACTACACAACAGCTAAACCTAAGCTGCTAATTGGACTCTTGAATCAAAAGGCTCTTAA